CCACTTCGCCGCCCAGCCCCTCCGAGCCACGCGCCCGTCCTCCGCTCTTCAAACTCTCCTCTTCCCCAAGAAACAAACGCCAGCCACGGTTCGGTCGCCACACCGCTGGTTTCTCGTGGTCCGTTCGCGAGCTGCCCCTCGTCTTGTACGAAGACGGTTCGGTTTAGGTGCGGGCTCACCTGCACCATTGTCCGTACAGCGCCTAGCGGGTGAGGGTCCCGATTTGGGAGCAGGACGCCCAGGAAACGCCTTCAAAGTCATAAGAAAGGGAATTGCTTTGTCGCCCTTGTAAATCGACCCCGTGAAGTCCAACGCGCGCCGTGCTTCCCTGGTCGTCCTTCGTGGAAGACGGGTCTGGCCCTGTGCTCGGTGCAGTGATAACAGGTTCGCTTCTCTCTCGTCTTTCGTGGAAGATTTTTTAATACATTAGACAAGTTTGTGAGGACTGAAAAAAAAAAAAAAATGGGATAGGGGTTTTGAAATATCTTCCGTGGCGATTGAATCTGCTCTCACACATCTATCGCCCCTTTACTTAACGTGTACGGTTGCCCGCGCTCACGCTTTCGTCGGACGTCTTGCAGTATTTCGCAGATGCTCTTAGAGCCCCAGCGCCTGGAGTCTTGCCTCCCATTTAAAAAAGAAAAAAAAAAGCAAGTTTCAAGTTCCCACGGTGGCAGACAGAAGCTTAAAGTGAATCAAGCGCACCCTAAAAATCGCAGAAGCCAGAAGACAAATAGGAAGAACCCAAATGCCTATTCTTTTTTATTTAAAAAAAAAAAAAATCACGATTTTTGGAGTTTGATTTTTTTAACTGTTCAATACACAAGGTTGGCAATGCTGCATATGTACAGCATATTAAAGACCTGATCGTACTCCCATTAAAACCAAAGGCAAAACTCTGAAGTTTTACAGGAGTGGAACAGAAGATGGGTGCTGTGCTCATGCTTCATTGCCAGGTATGGCTTGTCCTGGTTGCATGGATGACTAAACATCAAGACCAAAATGCTCGTGTGCAAAGCTCGCGTACTCAGCACTCTCACGTGTGGTGGGGAAACTTCTGGACATTAAGAGAAAAGTTTGAACAGCTGCCACCCGCGCTGTTCATGCCTCATACTCGACCTCAAATGCAAAATAAAATTGCCAACACAGAGGTTCTTCAAAGGACAAATTTACCAAGTGTGACAGCCCTACTCAGACAGAGACAACTGCGCTGGCTAGGCCAGCTGAGTAGATTGGAAGATGGACACATACCCAAGAACATCCTGTACAGGGAATTATTGGAGGGAACAGGAAGAACAGGACACCCCCAGCTTTGTTATAAAGACACATGCAAGAGAGATATGAAGGCATTTGGACTTGATCCTGGCCAATGGGAAACCTTGGCAAGCGATCCGAACAAGTGGCATCATCGTCTCCACCAGGGCATTAGAGCCCATGACAGGAATTGGCCCCAACAGCTTGAACTGAAAAAAGTCTGTAAGAAGCAAGCAGCTCCCAAACCACCCCACCGCGATGCATATGTTTGCAACCAGTGCCACAGATCATGCAAATCTGAGATGGAATTATTCGGTCACATGAGACATTGCAAACTGTTTATGTCATAGGCTGCAATTTCTACCATCTTTCACAGACTAAAGGATGCCATAAAAAAAAAAAAATTGAAAATAAAGCCATGTTTCCAAGACATGCAATGATATTCAAAGTGCAGAACACAAATAAATGTCACCAAAATCAATGAGAGATGCTGGTATTCAGGATTTTGCTAATTAGACCCATGGGATACTGGGGGATGGTGCATACTTATGCAATTCCTGATTTTCCAAGATGCCTAATGATATAAACCCATAACAGAGGGAAAGGATCAAACCCTTGTGGCTTCTTGCGTACAAAAGAGCCTCCACTGCTGACTCACATGGGAGCCACAAATCTTGGAAACTGTACCTTCCTTTGATGTCAGGCCAGGCCTCTCTCAGTCTGCTCTCTGGTACCATATAAACCACTACAGACTGTTCCATGGTCGGGTTGTCAGCAACTAAATGCACTGCCACCTGAGCTAGCCTGGGTGAGAAGGGTGCGTGGACACCCAGCAGGACTAAAAACAAGACCCCTCAAAGGGTGGATGAGCTCCCCATGAGCCAACAGCCATCCATAGCTGGAGAGGAGATGGGCGCCACCAGGTCACTCTGCCCAAGGAATCACTGGTGATGCAAAGCAACTCAACTAGGGTGGTTACAGCCTCTAAGATGCCCCAACGGTTGAGCAGCCTCGGGATTGACTTGCCTTGCCTTGCACCTTCCTGTGAGGGATAAATACAGCCTGCTGCCCAGCATGGTTTAAAAGACCCTCCTTGTCCACCCTTTTAATCTATTTTCCAAGGAGGTGACTGTTTCAGACTCATTTATAAAACCAAGGTCTTTAGTTCAAGCTGAAGAGATGCATGCTTTTAGCTCCCATTTCAGTCCCCAGTGCCAACTAAGAGACTGGCCATCTCATGCAGATTAAAGGCACAGAATATAGTCTGATGTGTCCTTCTGCCTTCTCCTATTTCAGTCCTGTTCTTGCAATGAATATTCAGAGGGTTCCTGCAGCCCCTGAGGTTTTGACATGGAGAAAATTTCTCCTTTGCACAATAAAACTCAGGCAGTTGGGGAAATTTAAAATGAGCTTTGAACTAAGGAGTTCAGGCTCCAGCAGAGGCCAAGTGGGGATACATACTCTGAAGACAACCCTACCAAAGACAGGGAAGAGAGAAAGGTATCTGGGGCATTTCTGTGCCACCTTAGTACCACACCACTCTGTGCTGTGTTTACTTTGTGTGCGCCGTCTTTCCTGACAGAAATCATATTGCCACCTGAGAGTGCAAGAACTCGCAGCTCTGCTACTTTCATTTCATAACGTAGCACAGAGAAAGGGGGCACGGCAGACCTCATGCCTTTCCTCCCTCCCACCCCAACCAGGAGTCTCCTACAAGAGATCAGCACACGAGAGGCTGTACATTACTCCAGAAGAGTCATGTAGTTCTCAGCTATGATATGGAATCAGCTTTTGACCACAGCAAGCATGAGCTAGATTAAAAGGGATGTCTGCTTCTACAATCCACTCCCTCTCCCCTCCCTGGTCTCTCCCAGTTTCCACAACTGGGTTTTGTTGTGGGTTTTTTTGTTTTCTTAATTTTAGACGACAGCACGCACCTGTTTGCCATTTCTCAGCAGAGTTGCCTGGCAGGCTGCACATCATCATGCAAACACCCATTAAAATACTACCTGCCATCATTATGGCAAGGGTGTATAAAAGTCCAGATTCCAGAATGAAGTAAGAACTCCCAACACTAGACAGACCAAACAATAACGACCCAGGGCAATTTATCATGGCAAGGTATATATCATTATGTTCTTGGATGTGAAGAGTACAACTGCCAATCTTCATTAACAAATGAAGCCATTAAACTCCTTTATGTGACCCCAAAGACAGACACATATTACTGCCCCAAAGGCACATACTAGGCACATGAAGAGAGAGGAGTTCTGCCTGTCAATTGCTTTGAGCATCTGGAAGAGAAACACAAGAACAACCCCAAAAACTGAGAAAGTAGCCAAAAAGCAACAAAACCAATAAGCATTAGTAGTGCAATCCTGGGGGGAAAAAGTGAGAGTTAATATGTTTTGGGGCTGGTTGAGGTATGGAGCTTTGGGAAAAAAAAAAATCTTCTGTTTGATTATTTCAGGGAAAAGGATCAACAGGGTTACATTGAAGATATCTCACTCTACCACTGATTTCTCCATCAAAAGAGTCCACGCGGTTCTCTACCACTCTGGTTTGAACAGGATAACTGGTGCCTGAGGAAGCTGATCACTGTGAGGCCTGTAAGTACAACTCTGTGTCCAATGTGTGTGATGGAGAAGTGAGATTCTAATTTGGCTCCTGATATTTTGGCTCAGTTAGGCAAATGATAAACTTGTAAAAACAAGGGAAATGAGTAATAATGGCAAAAAAATGAAAGGAAGCAGCTTCAGCAAAATATTGGCACTCTGAAAAAAATGACCACAATAAGGTGGACTGATATAAGGTGGGGCCTGGGTGAGGGAGATTCCCTGCCCACCATCAATGCTGACCTCGTGAAGGAACACGTTGACAGGCTGGACACCTTCAAGTCAGCCGGCCCTGACGTCTTACACCCAAGGGTACTCAAGGAGCTGGCGAGCATTATAGCCCAGCCCCTGGCACGGATCTTTGAGAGCTCCTGGCACTCTGGTGAAGTGCCTGAAGACTGCAAGAAGGTCAATGTGGTGCCTATCTTCAAGAAAGGGAAGAAAGTGGATCCAGCAAACTATAGGCCCATCAGTCTGACCTCTATCCTGGGGACGGTCTTAGAAAAGATGATTAAAGAGGCCATTCTCAACAGACTGGCCGACGGCAACTTCCTGAGGGATAGTCAGCACGGGTTTGTTGCGGGTAGGTCTTTCTTGCCCAATTTTATCTCCTTTTATGAACAGGTGACCTATCACCTGGACAAGGGAGAAGAGATTTATGTCATATATCCTGACTTTAAAAAAGCCTTCGATCTGGTATCCCATGATCACTTCTTGGCAAAACTGGATAACTGCAGCCTCGACCTCCCCATGATCCAGTGGCTGGCCACGGGTGGGGGGATGGGTCCCCGGGTCAGCA